TTCTGATAATTATGTCGCGCTGTTAAGAGCTACACCAACTTGCAAGTTGTGGATAGCGTACACTGGTAGTGTTATTCCACAACCTACCTGAGCCTTTGTCTGATTGGCTTTTACTTTGGCCATGTGGTCTCCAGTTGAGCTTATGTTCTTGTTCTGATGGGACTACCTGGTAACTATACCTGTACAGTGACCTATTACAGGACTGGCTTTGCCACGCGGCTCAGATAAGATACGGTAGGCAAACCTGGGGGCGCCTTACCTTTACGTAGTGTGGCAGGCCTTTGGCAAGCGGCCTACAACCAAGCTTAAGCCGTTTGTTAAATTTACCTATCTTTTTACCGATCTGAATTGACTAGTAGGCTTATATGTAAGGGGGGCCGTGTATGAACGGACAAGCAAAGCCTCACGTGAGGAAGTTACTTCGAGGCCTGACTGACTGGCTGGCTGGCTGGCATTTGACTACGGACGGGAGCTTGAAAAGGGGTTCGTTGCTGACGGGTGACGACGAGCTACCTAGTTACCTATCGCCTTCTCGAAATACGGCAAGCAGCACCCGTGAATCCTCGAAAAAAAAAAACAGCTGAGGCTGGACGGCATAGCACAGCATAGCACAGCACAGCACGCTGGCCTCGATATCTTTTCATCCCGACCATCAATCATCATCATGTGACGTGGCGCCATCTCCCGGGCCAGACTGAGCGTTTCGCACACATAAGACAAGGGACTGCTGCTTTGCTCAGCTAATTAAGCGAGACGAGCGAAGCTGCTGGTCTTAGACTGGGCAGGACTGTTGAGAAGATATCAATGCCGGTTAGTCATGGCTTTTGCGATGGATAGGTTGGTCCACAGCGCGGGGGAGGATGGAGTAGAATCATGTGTAGACAGTAAGGAGGCCACTCACCGCGCCGCAGCCTCCGCAGGTCTTGGAGCCATCTGAGGCGACTCCGCACTTAGGGCAAGTGGCTCCGTGCATGGTCGCTACCTAGTAGTATGGTTCTTTTCCTTTGGTGGGTTTGTGAAGAAAGAAGTACTTTATCGACGGCGGCGACGACGACGACGACGACGTTTTGTTTCAAGTTGGTGAAAGTGCTGTATACCGGAGCTGACGATGGTGGTGGTGGTGGTGGTGGGGGAAATCAGACAGACAGGCAGGCAGATATATGAACAGATAGAGAAGCGGGGTTCGTCAAGGCGGCTTGTGATCACTTTACCTCACCTTACCTGGTACCCGTCCCATCTCAGGTGGCTGCTTCTCGCTTCTACCTACCTGGTACCTATAGGTTGGCAGGTCAGGTTGGTAAGGTAAAAATTGGATATCCCGTCGCTTCGCTGTTACGCTACGCTTGGCGTGCGTGGGGAGAGGGGGAAGGGAAGGCACGAGGTGCAACCCACACGCAGCTGCCGCCTCCCACCACCTCTCCACCATGGCCCGGCCCAGGGCACCAGCAAATCAGGTCCGGGGGTTCGCATTGATTCCCCAGTATATTACATTGCCGTGCATCAGACACACCAGGGCGGCGTGCTGTGCATGCATGTCATCTGCGACGCCCTAACGGGATTGGCAGATAAGGGGTAAGTGGCAACCACCGAGAACTGCCCTGGCCATCCAAGTGATCTATCTTTCTCTCTCTCTCCCAGACGACTTGAAAGTACTACTTGATAGCACGCGATGCTACGGGTTACTTGACCTGGACAACCCGATCCTTTCTGCTGTGCTGGAGCGGCCGATTGGTGAATGCATGATTCCACCACCTTGATGTCCATATAACCCTTGCGCATAAGGCGGCTGCACAAGCACACATACCTACCGCAAGCTCACTCACTCGAAGAAGCATCATGCCAAATAAACAAGCATCAAACTTTCTTTCACAATGCAGATCTTAAAAAACGCCCGGTACACCAACCAACCCCTATGTCTTTTGTTGACAACAACGATGGATCCAAACCCGACGCAGGACGCCATGCTTGCCTACCTATCGGTCTCCCTTTCTTCATCATCTAGTTCTAGCTCTAGCTCCACCGGCAGGTATAGAGAAACGTGGCGGCAGTTGACCCGGCAGCATCTGTTCCATTACATACATTGCGCTTTACCTCCCTCGCCTATAACCAGCACCGATTAGCCGCGACGACATACAAAACGGGTGAAAGAGCAACAACAGGAAAGGGGGGAAGAACTCACCACTAATCATCTTCTGCACCGCCTGCAAAACGCTAATAACCATAACCACGCACCCAAACACCACGACGCCCCAAGCAACATACGTCTTCCACGACCTCGTCGTCAGCTTGATGAAGCACAGCGGAGGCAGGATGTAAGCCATGGCAGCGGCGCTGGTGGCCCCGACGAGCTCAAAGACGGACCCCAGGTCGCACGTGAAGAGGCTGATGGCGGTGGCGGCAGCGACCAAGCCCGTGGTCAGGGCGACGTGCACGCGCATGCTGAAGGGCGCGCCGGGGCAGAAGTAGTTGAGCATGACCTCGCGGCAGACAAAGGCCTCGAGTGGCAGCGTGGTGAGCATGTTGAGCCCGAAGCACAGGCGCGCCACGTTGACCATGGTGTTGTCGGCCGGGAAGTTGTTGAGCACGTTACCCAGCGTCTTGTCGCCAAAGGTGAGGAAGCCGGCCAGCGCCATGAGCATGCAGGCCAGCATCGACACGCCCGTCGAGTAGTGCGTCACGCGCGTGAAGCGGTCGATGGTCGGGGTCTCGAGCGAGCCGTAGATGAGGAGCGAGTTGTGGTGGCAGACGAAGGCTGTAAATTTCATCCATTTTTCTTGATTAGTACTTTTTTTGCTTTTCTCGATGCCCACGCAAAAATCTTCAGAGAGCAACTGTAAAATAGAAAGAAGGAGGGGGTACCATACCAAACGAAATAACGCCAATAGCCTGAAAAATGCCATCGTTGATAATTAACAAGTGCCAGTCCCCCAGCTGCCCTCTGTCCTCGCTCGGTGCCAGCGCTCCCTGCACGACAACCGTGACGATGATGACGCCCATGCTGATGAGCGCCAGCGTGCTCGCTTTGGCCAACTAAACCGCACACCACAATCGTCAGCAAAACCAACCCCCCGAAAAAAAAGAGAAAAGCTCCCCTTTTTTTTTCTTCCCCTTTCCCAAACTCACCTTTGCAATATCCCGATACAGCGCCAACGGAAAGCTAACCCCCATCACAAACACAAAAATCACCACCCGCCGATTCGCCAGCAGGCCCAGCACCTTCATCTCCTTCAACCCCGGCCACACAGCCGCGAGCACATGCGGTATGGTATCCCCGACAATGACGCCAAACGCGACCATCCCGCCAAAGGCAAACACCCACTGCGCGACCGAGATGGCGACCAGGCCGGGGCGGCCGAAGCAGTGCTCGACGGTGCCCTGGAAGCTGTGCGCGCCGCTCAGCTTGCTGTTGACCACGATCAGGCGGATGGTCCAGTCAACCACGGCGGTGAGGGCCAGGAGCAGGACCACGCCGGCCAGCAGCCCGGCCTGCCGGAACGCGTACGCCTGCCCGATGATGCCCGCGCCGATGATGCTGTTGGCCATGTTCATGAAGGCCATGCGCAGCCCGCTCTTGGGGCGCGCGCGGTCCGCGGCCGCGCGGGCGCGCACGACTTCCACGTCCAGATTGTTGTCGTCGTCGTCGTCGCCCCATTCGCTGTTGGCGAGAGCCACCGACGGCGCTTCGAGGCTGGTGAGTAGAGGTACGCGGTGCTGGCCGCGGCTGTTGAAGGACGTCAGCGGGTCGGAGTCATCAAGGTCGAAGCTCTCGCGCGCGTGGTGGTGGTGGTCTGCGTTGCTGTCGCCGTCGCCGGGGAGGTTGAAGCGCACGCGGTTCGGCGTCCGGGGCGTGCGGGGCGTGCGGGGCGTGCGCACTGTTGTGGACGTGTGCAGCTGGAGGTCGTCGTCGGGCGTGTTGGACGGGTGGCGGCTTGTTGTCGTGGGCGGCGGCGAGGGCGAGGGGGAGGACGGGTTGACCATGACCAGGTCATCGTCGTCGTCGGCATGGTCTGCTATGAGCAGGCCGACGTTCTCGTCTTCGGATGGTTCATTGCGGCGGTCTTGGGGGTGGTGACGTGCATTGGCGGCAGCAGCAGCAGCAGCTCCCGCGGCGGCGCCATGCGGTCTGGCCCTGGCCATCAGGGCATCTTTGGCGGGAATGCCGTCTGTTTTTGTCTTTTTGTCTTTTCGTCTTTTTTCGAGATCCGCGCGAAGGAAGGAAGGGAGGGAGGCAGGGTAGACGAGGTTGGCTCTAAACGTTGTCCCGATTTAATCAACTGACAGAAAAAAAAAAAAAAGGGCCGCAGGGTTCCGGCAGTTCAGTAACAAGAAATACGAAGAATCAAGTATCAATCAAGTCCGAGTGTCGGTTGTAGCTGAATCCAGAAAGGCTTTGTTTGCTATTCATTCATTCATTCGGATGGTTGCATTCATTGCGCTTCGCCAGACAACAGCACAGCCCAGCACCGCACGTCTGGCCTCGCCCGCCTGGCACTTGCTTGTCTGGACTCTGGCCGCAACACCGACCCCTGTCAGGTGATGACAGGGCTCCGTGGAGCCTCGTTCAGGGGCAAAGCATGGATGGAACCAGCTGTGGAGGCGCAAGGCTGCGTCCGACCGGCGGCAGGCAGTTGCTCAGTGGATACGGCTCATCATCGAGCGTTTCCTCCAAGACGGTCTGGTCCCACTCACTGTCTTTGTGACGCAACGGATCCATTCAGTCTGTCGTTCTCAATCTCCACGTTACGAATTTCAGTCATTGTCCGAGTCGTGTAATTCACGTGTAGGTTCATGCATTGATTACCGCCACCACCTCTGTTCGGTTCGGCCTTTATGACCCACTCGGAAAACACTCCATGGCATTGGCATGCCAGGACACCCGACGTTTGTCTGTGATATAGAATACCCAGCCACCATGCCCATCCACTCAACATCCAAAAAGGATATAAACAGATCCCAATACCCTCGATCCCAGGACAGACAGGAGCAAAAAAGTGTTGTGATGACAAGAGCGGGATTCGAACCCACGCATCTTTCGATACCAGAGATCTGTAAAATCTTAAGTCTGGCGCCTTAAACCCCTCGGCCATCTTGTCATTGGTTGTTCGAGAGAGGTTGCAAGAACGCGAGGAAACGTGTCTTATGACCCCACACTCGGCTCCCACGCCACCGCATTTCGCGGAGTTAAGCGGCGTCGGTGGCCAATGAAACCTTGCCGAGCATTATAGTATATGTACCGTAGGCAGGTACAACCTCGTCCCAAGGTTCTGGGAACGGAGAATAAAACACCATCATATCGAGATCAATGCGCATAATGCACAGACTGCCAGGTAACATACACAGGTGACGCCCGTCAAACCTTCAATTACATATACAGATATATACTACTGCTGACTCGTTTCGTACAAAGCACAGGGGGTGAGGGTTCAAACCTCGACCTTTCCCCCTTCCCCTTCCCCTTCCCCTTCCCCTTCCTCTCCTCTCCTCTTCCTCTCCTCTTCCCATTCCGAAATTTTGATCCCTGAGCTCGACGTGCGTTCTTGCTAATGCTTCTGCTCCGTTCCTCCTTGTGGGTATCATGTACAAGTTGTCCAAAAGTATCGGACGATATGTTCTTTCCCAACTCAAACCACTCGCTGGCTGGCGCAATACCAATGCTGAATGAACAAAAAGAAACCCCAGCGTGCCCATTAATGATCCAAAAGTAAATATGATTGATTCGTGTTGAATGCGAGTGAATGAATTGCAGCTATATCCCAAGCCACAGACAGACCCGCGTTCTTTTAGTCGCCCCCAAATGCTTGCGCCGAAGCAAGGACAGACCCATCAACCATTGATAGTGAACGGGCACCTCCGCCCGTTTAGAGCAACATAATGCTATCACGCCACCATGGCAATGGCTGCGAGAATGCAGAGTATCGATACATACTTATTGTTCACCACGTGCTCCGCAGGCGACGTCGGTTTTGCAGAAGCGGATGGGCTTGACGCTGTTTCAGGAGCAGCCGAACCACCCGCCGCCGATCCCGTTCCAGAGCCGTTGGAGGACGCTGCAGATGATCCTGTTGGTGAAGTGACTGAAGTCGCGGTGCCGGTCGGGGTTTGCCCTGTGGCCCCCGCGGCGATAGTCGACGTCGTACCAAAAACGACCGTGGTCACAGCCGGGGTGGGTTTCGCAGCCAACGCGCTGAAACCGATCTTTCCCGCATCGGCATCGAAGATACTGACCACGTTTTTCAGAAAGACGTCGCCAAGCAACCACGAGCCTTCCATAACCTCGTAGCCGTAGAGGTTGCTCTTGCACGTGGTTCCGCTACCCGACATCCAGTCCCTGGGCGAAATCGCGAATGCGGTGCCGGAGAAAAAGATCTTGATCTCATGGTCGCTGTCGCAAGGGACCTGATAGGTGACGCCGTCCGAGCTAACCTTGGCGCCGGGAATGAGCTTGTGGAGGGCAGCCACATCCGCCGCCGGCCCAAACGCAAACGAAGTACCCGTGTCGATGTAGGCAATTCTGCCAGTGATCCCGGCCCCCGTGCCATCATACTGCATGTCCCCCATCGGTATGGCCCATTCGCTGTTTGCCGAGGGCGCGATGGCCGTCCACACGACATTCTTCACCGACGACTCGTATCCTCCAATCGTGATCTGGCCATTGTTGTATCCATCCGAGGCCCTGCTCAGGGTGAGGCTGAAGACGTTTGTGGAGATGATACCACCCGCCTTCAAGGTCTGCAGCATGTTGCCGGTGGGCCCCTTGTTCATCGAGAGTCCAAGGATGCCGTCGAAGGGGAAGTGCGTAAAATCCTTCGATGCCTCCCCCGTTAATCCAAATGTCATCTTGACATCGAGGCCCCCAATCGAGATCGTGTCGTCGGCTAACTGTCCCTTGACCTGGCCGGTGCCGTATGCGATGGCGAAATCATTAGTGCTCGTCTTGAGCGTCTTCGAGTCGGCGGGTCCGAAGGTGCTGTGCATCTCGCAGGCAGTCGAGTCGCATGTCGAGCCCATAACCCACGTGTTTCCAGCCCCCGAGTCCAAGAGCATGTAAAACGGCTTCTTGGATGAGCCGAACTTGACTTGGACAAAGTAAGAGAAGTCGGTTCCATCTTGAAAGACACCGACAGCGTGGGAAGTGCCGGTCGGGGCGGCAGGTGAAACGACGGAATATGTGTTGTCTCTGGCGACCAAGCTTGGTTGTTGCTGTGAAACTCGAGAAGCTTCTACACTCGCGTACTTCTTAGAAAGTCGGCCAGCATCTGCTGCGGCGCGGGCATCTTTCACAGCCGGGTCCTCGTTGGGCTAACAACAAGGTCAGCACGGATACAAACATCGGCACCAGGAAAGGGGTCTTCGCCCATCGACAAGGGACACATACATCGGGCACTCTCTGAATCAGGTCCAGTGTGAAACCCTTTCCCGGCCCAGGTTGAGCATCGAGGTCTCTTTTCGGTTTCGGCAAGCAGTAGCCCTTCGAATGGTAGTCTGCACAATCATATGACGCAGGATATGGGTAAAAGGCGTGAACGGCAGAGACCCATAACGTCAGCTCCAACAGGCGAGCAACTCCCACCATGTTGAAAGCCCAGCAACTGAAACCACACCTCTCCCGCACCTAGAAACTCAGCTAAAGCCAAGTAATCGTCCAAACGCTCCCAGCAGAAAGAACACTTCTGTATACTACCCGCCGCGTCGATGGTTCAGTCTGGATCAAGATATCCAAGGGCGGCACGATGCAAGCATCAGGCCCGGTTTGATCTGCGAAACGACCCGATGATTGACAGGCACGAGCCGGACAGAGCAAGGTCTTGGTTATTGGCGATTATAGACCGACCACAAGTGCCTGGCTCCGGCACCGAGGGGGGGGGGGGGGGGGGTTGGAGCGAATTAACGATTAAGTTTGTACTGCATTGGAAACGACTTCGAGGCCGCTGCTGGAACTGATGATGTTGGATGGCTGGCGAGAAGAAAAGAAAATGGCGAGGCAGGAGAGATTATTCTAGACCGGCGGGCGGAATGCGTATAAAACAGGGTGAGTCGGAGGTTGACGAAAAGAAAATGGCGAGGCAGGAGAGATTATTCTAGACCGGCGGGCGGAATGCGTATAAAACAGGGTGAGTCGGAGGTTGACGAAAAGATGCTTGGAAAATGCAAGACAAAACAAGAGGACGGTACGAGACAAAGAGACGCGAAGCGAACGAGCTGATGGGTTGCGGCGAGCGAGCGAGCGAGACAAGCCGATTATCGTGGTTAATTATGGATTAGATGTGGATTAGATCGACACACAAGCAAGAAACGAACGACGGTCTAAAACAACACACCCCTCGGCAGTACTGGGCAAATACCGTAGTGCAGGACGAAGAGGAGGAGGATGAGGAGGTGGTCGGGATGGGCGGGCGAAGAGGCGACCAAAGGCGGAGAAGGAGGTAACGCCGAGGACGAGGACAAGAAGGTAAAGGTAGGGTAGGGCAGGAGAGGAAACGGAGAGGTGTGAATCTTCTGACAAGAGCAGAGAAACGATGGACCGGCGTGGACATGCACATGGACATGGATGGTCATGTACGGGCATGGGGAAGGGCACCTCGATGCGACCCTCTGTCTCAATGCGGCAATGTGGGCTCGAGGGGGTTCACAGGGTTGCAGCTTGAATGGCAGATGCGTCCATGTTGGCGAGCGACATCACGCGCGCCCGCTGGCCTCGTATAACCGACAGGTACTCTGATATCTGCCAGATTCTGAATCCATTCCGGAACGAGTCAAGCCCTCTTTCAGCTTGCAAGCCCTCAGAAGCAACGGCCGGCTGGTCCTGGCCGACCCTGTCAATTGGAAGAGACGGTTTTGCGGTTACCCGGCTCTGCTGCCAGGGGGGCGTGGAGAGCAAGGGATGACCGGACCAACCAGGCCAGACCAGACTGCCAAATCCTGAAAGCGTTGAAGGAAAGCACCTTCTTCCACAACGCCTACGATACAGTACACGTGCAGCCTGGTCCGTAGGCACTTCACGATGTGCGCCTGCGACGGGCGCCCGGGCAGTCCTTCTATTTTTGCTTTCGTGTACTTTCCCTCGTGCGGGCTCGTGGTGGAGTTTGTGGAGCGCTTCAGACGAAAGCCAAATCCCCGATCCAACCCGACTGGATCAGATTCTCCGTCAAACACGGCCAACCTGGGGAAGCGCTAGCTCGCAGAAACAGCAAATCTGTTCACTCTCGCCTCTTCCCAAAAAGCACGGCTACGCTGCAGTGAACACCACCAGGTGTGCGGCGCATCATTCAACCAAAAAGCCCGATGTTGCCCTTTGTTCCCTGGGGTGTTGTGTGATTGGGAAAGGGTGGGAGGGGCCTGGGCAAGGTGGGCCTTTAATGAACTGCAGGTCGCTCATTTGATGCCATCCCTGTCCCTGCTCAGCGCCGGAGGTCTCGCGTGATTGGCCAGAGGACTCGAACAAGCTCTGCCGAGGCCAGCGCCTGTGCGCGTGTGTGTCCTCGAGGCGCCGTGCCTAAGACCTGTCGTCCACAGAGGAATTGACGGCCATTCAAGCTGCTCAGCGGGCTTTGGGAAGACAAGAGTCAGCCAGCCATGAACAAACCGCAGGCAATGAGCTGGCAGTTTACCTGGTATATTCGAGGGCTCCGTCAGGGGCACGCAGATCTTCCCTTCTTTTGTCGCTGCTTTACCCCTGAACGAGGGAAAGGGCTCCAAAAATGAGGGGCAGGGGTAGCAGCAGGGAAACAAACAGGGGCGCGCGCGGGCAGCACACACCACCCGCCCACCCCACGGGGCGTACTTTTGGCACTCTACGTGCAAAGGGTTACATAGACTATATCTAACCTGTTGGAGAGAGTTCCACCTGCCCTGTTCGCTTACACCTAAAGGTGGAATCAAATAATCAAAATCCCCATATAAACTGAGTGCAAGTGGATCAGACTGGAGATCCGAGAAACAGAACGCCATTTACGACAGACTATCGATAATATATAAAAACAAAATAAAAAGCTAACGTTGCCTAGAAATTTCGTACGTAAGGCGGTACACCTTTTGGACGATTTGCACTCTCATACTTGCTTTTTTTTGTTCAAAGAGAAAAGGTGGTTGGCAG